CCTCCCAAAGATGCTAGGAGCGTTGTGGCCTAGGCTTCCCAGGATAAAACTTGCCAGTGATTCAATGTTTGAGCACTCAAACAAGGAATCCGGCGAGCAAGACACGGTTATGAACACAGTAGACTAAAGAAGGAGTAGAAGCAGAGAGGTTTTGAGGCTAAAAGATGAACTTTCGTGTTCTATATTTCTGTGCGTTAAAACTCTACTGCCCAACTCCTCCTTATATAGGGGTGGAGGATTTAAATAGCTTTTATTATGCACTTAATGTAACACCCCCCCCCCCCCCCCCCCCTAAAACAGGCTAATTAAAACCTTAAAACATGCAGATAACACAACTAAACAACAAACACAGCGGAAGACTAAAGGATAACTGGATAAATAAAAATCCAAGTCATGGGGTGTTATGCCACGTCCACCAACAAAGATGAACGCTACCACAGAATCTGCATTGTTTACAACTATCCAAAAAAACTCAACAGTCTACAACTAGAGCGGCACACAGGCCATAAACCAATGGGAGAGCTATGCTAACAGGCACTAGACTGCGCACTCACCTAGACATCACCTGAAAGAACACAACAAAACATGGGACGACGCCCAGTCAGCGAATAAAGCTGGTAACCCACCAATACATGTGAAATAACATACATAAGTAAGATATAAGTTGTAAAGCCATTTTCGAAACGGAATACATAAGTATATAAGTCAAAACCAAGATCAATAGTCAACACAAGACTCAACACTCTCAACAAGGATACGAGAACACATCCCAAAACCACAAAGGATAACCACAACACAAAAGATAACGACAAGACCAATGGCATTACATGCCCTTGTGACTACACACGTCACAAGAAAGAGATTCATAACCACGGCTACACAAGCCCTCGTGACATCACCCATCACGAGTTGATATGCCTTCCTTATGCCCGGTTCCAACCTTATGGCTACCCCCAACCTTGTATCTTCTTTCCAACCATTACCTCCAGGACCCCTGTACTTCTTAGTCCAACCTTTTCCCTCCTGGACCGTCGTCCCCCACCAACAAACCACCAACAAGACCACCAATTTCATAGTACACGAGGGTACCGTACACACACACGGCAACACATGCTACCCAAGAAACACGTGAACCTTACACAAAGGTCACAACTCCATAATCACGTCACGGCTATCACGAGGACCACTGCAATACCTTGGTGACTAGTGTCTCATACCACTAATCGTGCAATCCAGGTAAAGCCACACACACATCACACCACAACAGGAATCAATCAACAGATCACAACGAAGATATGAAACCATACTCAATCAAGGAATGGGTCACAGCCCAACAACAACAACGATGAATAACACAAGTTATCATCAACCATTAAGAAGGTACAAACAACACACATGCTAGCATTTAAACACCGAACTAGCATGCTTATCAAACGGGTAAACCGAAGGTAGTTCCGAAGAACACACAAGACTCATCACGGTTCAACGAAACACAATGTTGAACACTTAGCACGATTCACGACACCAAAACCTACATGGAATCCTAGCATATAGTTCTAGACATACGAAACATCAAGAAGACACTCAAATAGTTCCACAAAAGAACATCGGTAAGTCAAAAGACCAAATACTAAGTCAAAAGAATCACGGGGAACAAATCCCAATCAAACACCACGGTGTTCCCCGCGGGTGGACCCACGGGTAGGTTCCCACCCGTGGTCCCGCCCGCGGGTACACTACCCACCGGCCTACGTTCCCCGTGGGTGGGCGGCGGGATGGAGCTCTACCCGTCGTTCCGCCCGCGGATACATATACCTGTACAAAATAATCCCTTCGGGGATTTTCAACTCCAAGCTCAAATTCAAATCCAAAACATGTCAAATCTTACCAAATACAACAAAATGACTTGAATCAAAGGAAATGCCAAGCAATGGCACACAAGAACCCTAAACACAAGCTCTAGATATGCATTTTCACAAGATCATGCATCAACACTCACATTTCATAGCAAAACACATGTAGAATCCAAGAAATATTCACATATAGGTAAGCAAAATAGGTATTGTAGAGCATGGGTTACCTCTTGTAGACTAAAGACTTCACTTTACACCTCAACAAGCTCCTCACAAGGCTCACTTTCCAAACCCACTTCAAGAACAAACCAAAAGATCATAAAGATCCTAGCTTTAAGAAAAGACACCTTAGATAAAATCAAAAACACAAGATGAACTTAGATCTTACCCTCCTAGATGCCCAAATATAGGAAAGGTTGAATCTTGGAAGCAACTCTTGAAATCTTGGCAAGGTTCCAACTTGGCTTGGAAGAAAAGCTACTCATCTTTTAGAGAGAGGGTGGAGCTAGATTTTTAGAAAAGTGTAAGGATAGAATGAAGATGGTCTACTAGGTTAGGTTACATTACCAACAAGTGAAAGGTCAAGAATACCCTTATTAACATTAGGAAATGTAAGGAACAAGGGAACTCCTTACAAAGCTCAAGGTACAACTTTGACTTTGGGGTTGACTAGTCAATTACTAGTCCCCAAGTATTGAATTTTCAGGATTTTAGGAATTAATTCACTAATTGAAATAGGATTAATTACTTAATTAATCCATTAATGGAATTTGGATTTTGGGGTGTCACACTTAAGGGCACCCCTCCACCTTCTTGTAACAGCAATCATTAGCATGGCCTTCAATTCAAAAATTAAAAATTGAAATTAACTCAAAAAATTAATTCCGTAACAATAGAATTGAACACTGAACGGTCACAAAACTGCACAGGTTCGTGTAGGCCGAAAGTTCTGCGAACAACAGTTCGCAGGTGCCGGCGCACTCGAGCTTGAATCAAGCCTTTTTCAATCTCGTCTAGTTGGAATTTGATTTGCACCCCCACCCACCCCCCCGCGCGCGCGCCAGAGAGCCTCTATGGTATACAATTCTACAAGCTTCAAAAGAGATCTTGTATATAAGGGGGGCAAATCCACTTTCCAAACCAATGTGGGACAAAAGCTCACTTTTTCCCTTCATTTTCCAACTCAAATGGGTCTACTTTGAGAATCAATATCTCATTCACCCATTATCCGTTTTGAGCGTACAATATATCGATCTCTTCGTCTCACTACGAAGAATCCAAATCCACTTTGACCCGACCCAAATCGGAAGTGGACCTACTGATAATTGTACCACAAAATATCCATTTAATATGCCATTTTATGCCATTTTAAGCTATTTTTTCCAACACTCCTTTGAAACGAAAGCCTTGAACGCCACCAATCCCACGAACAACGGGTGAACACACAGTGACCGAACAAGCTTGAGATTGGATACTCATACTCCCCCTCCAACGAAAGCTTCGAACGCCACGAGTCCCACGAATAATAGGGGAACACAAAGTGACCGAACAAGCTTGAGATTGGATACTCCCCTGAAACGAAAGCTGTAAACGCCACCAATCCCGCAACTTCGGGTGAACCAAAAGTGGACCGAACAAGCTTGAACACACAAAGTAAAGAAAACAAATTCCAAACTGGAGGACACAAATTCTTTCCTAGCAAAAGGGAAATATCTTGACTAACAACAGGGAAGTATGCTCCAAATGACGAGCATAAAAAAGGAGAGACAACACCAAAACGAAAGGAGAGAGAGGACCAAAACTAATACTTGAACTATACATTTATGTTTTATATGTTATATAATCAACACTGCTCAAACCAAATATTAATATGCTCATTCGAATTTAGATTAATTCGTTACTCGATCTTGAACCTGACTCAACAATAATCAATTGAAATGGAACAATAATCACCAAATTGATCTCCAGTAAGTAAGCTCATGAATTTGAGCTGCTTAGACTCCTCCTAGGCCAAACAAACAAACCATAAATGCAGAATCAAAGTGACAGGAAATATCTAAAGAGTTCCATTTAAGGATATTTGTTTACAGGGGGCAAGAATCTAGTAAAGAAAACAATGTATGTAAGAAATAAATATAAGAGTAGAAAAGAAACAAAAGAAATGTGGGGTGGAAATAAAGTATGATGCAACTTAACAGTTTTCTGATTAGTACAAGTGGAGTATAGGTTGTAGATTACCAAAGTGTCCTTTAATTTGTTGTATATATATATATATATATATATATATATATATATATATATGGTGCAGATAAGCATCATATGATGAGGGTGGGTGGGTGGGTATAGTAGCAAGCAACCTGCGCATGCAAATCATCAACGTGGAACTACAAATACCAAACCCCTTTTATCAGTTCACCTTCCCTTTTGCATCATGGACCATCTCATCTCATCTCCCTTCAATCCTATCTAGCTTCTATTATAATTCTTCATGCAATTAAGTTTAAATTTAATTTTTGCTTTCATATCTACAAATCTACATTATATTCTATTCTATTGTAGAATAATACGTAAGATAGATTGTATATGAAAAGTTCCCTTAAAGGTTAATGTTTTGTTAGTAGGTATTAACCGTATTTTTCTGGGCACCCATGGAGTGAAGTGAACACATATAACGTCATTCAGTTAACCTTGCACTTTAGTACTATCAAGCTCATTGCCCTTACTTGACCTCCTATCTTTTAGCTGATCTGAGATTAGTAGTCAAACCTTCGGTCTGTATTCAGGTTTACATCGTGGTGCCTTTGGATTTAAAAGTTTGGACCTTCTATCACATATAGCTTAAAAGATTTTTTAAAATTAATGACATTGAACAAATATGAGATATCATGGATGTGACTTGTTCATGTTTTATACAATCAATATATTCAAAAAGAAAAAAAAAAAAAAAAAAGTACATATAAGACAAATTATTGTCTAGCTATATTATAATTGATTAATTTTCAATTGAAGAAATTCTATAACTTGACAATCAATCAATAAAAATACATTATGTTAAAGGAAAAAAAGAAAATTATTCTGCCTAAATATCAGAAATATTCTTTTCTTTTTCTTGAAAATTAATTAATAGTGTAATATAATAGAAAGATAAAAGGGAGGGAACAAAAATATGATAGTTGACAGAGCACGTGACATGCACGCCTATGCATCCATTCATCCCATTACATTCTTTCACCTAATTCAGAGCATTCTCAAGTCACGTGTTTTACACGTGCCAACTCACATTTCCACTCCCCAGCCGTTAACTTAACGGCTACTCTCAAGTTGACGCACACCAGTTACTTACTTACACCTAAACAACGTAGAGTGTAGGAGATTAACAAAAAGGCTTACAATAAAACATCCGATAATACAAATATAATAATATTTTAATATTAAACACTCAGTTAACGGTGGTTTAAAACTTCGGAGACACTAATGCCTAGAATTTGTAAACCGCGCCGATTTTATCTCTCAAAGAGCCACGAGAGGATCCGACCCGAATATATCTCCGTAATCCAGGAAGTAATCGTCCGCCGGCAATGCCGACAGCCCGAACCCGGTATCATGACTTGACCCGATAAACATGCCGCAGCATTCTTCCTCGAAAATCTTGTCGGAAAAACCCGTTACGTCGAACACTTCGGGTACGGGTACCGGGTTGTCGAACTTGAACAAGTCGTTTGAGAATAATGGGTCGAACGGAGAGAAGTCCGGGAAGTTTTCCGGCACGGAAGTGTAGTCGGAGAAGTCTTGGCTCATTTCGACGGCGTCGTTTGGCAGGGGTGGAAGGAACGACTCCGTTTCGGGTTCTTCGTTGAAGAACAAAACGGATTTGGGAGAGCGTTGGTTGTTGTGGGACTCTTCGCCGGAGTTGTAGCCGGAATCTACTGATTTCGGCGGCTTGCGCTCCTCCGGTGGAGCCTTGACGGCGGCGGCGGCGGTTGGAGCGGAGAAGTTGGTCAGCGCGTCAGGCCCACGCATCTGGATGGCCGCGTTGTCGTAAACCATAGCGGCTTCTTCGGCGGTGTTGAAGGTTCCTAACCATACCCGCCGGCGGCTGAGAGGATCTCTTATTTCCGCCGCCCATTTCCCCCACGGCCGCTGCCTCACTCCTCTAAACTTCGTCACATTTTCCACCTTCCCGGAGTTCCCAACCGCCGGCGTCTCCGCCTTCTTCCGCCGCTTCGCCGCCGTGGGCCCACTCCTCACAACGCCGTTACAGCTTGCGTTACCGTCATCTCTCCCCCACGCCTCAAACGTGACCTCATTCACGTATTTCTTCACTCTTCTTCGCCAAAACAACCCTCCCTCCCCCTCCTCATCACCGGAGGAATCAGTAGCATCGCTATCAGTCACCGATATCCTCACAACTCTGGGCAACCCAGCATTCGTCTCCGACGACCTCATCCCGGAACACCCACCGTCCGGCAAATGCCTAACCGTCGTGGTTTGCCGTTTGTGCTCACTGTACTTCACTCTAGTGGACAACATGCCTTCTTCTTCCATATCTCCACCTCAGATTCGCATGGAAGGTTTAAACTTTAAAACTCCGAATCAAAAAGCAAAAAAGCACAAAGATTCCTAGAGCAAATTAAAGAGAGAACAAACTACCCATGCCTACGCACGAGCCTCGTAACCAAATCTAGAAAAGTTACAGAAAAGTGATTCAAAAAAATTAAAAAAAGAGAAAGAGAAGAGGATATGATTAGAAGAACCCCCACTGAAGAACAACCCAGAGAAGTTAAAAACTTTAAAGCAGAGTGGAGAATTTTTCCAAGAAAGTTTACGAGAGAAAAAGCGGAAAAGTGGAAGGGGAATCAGTTGGTTCTGCTAGTGTATATTAGAGTAAAAGAAGCTGGGGAGAAAAATATCTCAGACAAAAATGGTGAAATGTTTGAAGACCAGACAGAGAACAAAGTGAAGTGAGAGAGAGAGAGTGTTCTTTTGCGGTGAAGAAGGAAACCAATGCGAACTGTTTTATAGGATCCGGCGTAGACTAAACATCAAAACCTCTTTTTTCTTTTTTTGTTCTTAATCTTAATTAATGAGATTAATTTCATAATTAGTGTGGGAGTTAATGGCCATTAGAGTTACGGGTATGGAGCGGGTACGGTTAGATATTTTACGAATTACCGCACCGCCGCATAATATGGGTGGGACTCGATTTTGACCGAGGACGTGGGACCCGCGCCATTCGGGCTGACTCAGCAACGTGTGATACGAGTCACCGTTAAACCGTTAACACCTGCCTTACTAGATCTTGTTAATTATAATTTATACTTTTACCGCATTATTTATGTATGTACTTGTATCAGAAATTCAGATGTATAGTAAAATAGTAATTGCATGCTTTTTAATGATTTTTTTAAAATAATGAGTTGTTTTTTTTTTATAAAAAAAAGTTTATAATTCTATTAAACACTAAATATTATTTAAAATTTTTTAATGTTTTTTGGGGAAATATTTTTTTAAAAGGTTTGGGGAAATATTTAGTGCAAGTAAAGCTAGCAAACCTAATTAATAAGCAGTAATTATGATTAATTTATCCGATTTAATATTTACTCTTTTTTATTATTTTTAGAGTGATAAGAGAAACACCTGGTCACTACTCAAGCAAGGGTCATGTGGTGCACGGGGTAAATTCTGCCTTATAACTTAATTGGCAAAAGATCACAATAAGGTGAATCAACATATATTGCTCTCATTAACCAAGAAGGTCAATAGGCCGCTTCACGAAAAGTCAAACTTGTAACTTTATGGTTATTAAGTCAGTAGTTTGATTAACTTGTATTGGATTACACTTTATTTACTTTTTTATAACTTAAATTTTCTGACTTTACTCGACTATATATCATAGACGTCATGGACCCGCGCTCTTAGACCTATAAAGAGGCAAATAATTAAATCAATTTAACTTTGAATGTGAACACCAAATTGTATACTTGTCTGCCCAAAAAATTTAACCAAAACTTAAACCACCCATATTTGTGGGTAAAATTAATTGAATCCCTTCCTATCGCCTCCTCGAACTCTTACCATATCACCAAAAAAAATGTCTCAAATAAACATATAATTTTCATTCACTATATCAATAGCAAGGTGATTTAATATTTATTTACAGTACAAGAAGGTGGCATGGGCAGGCAACCTAGGATTTGCTGCCCTTTTTTTAATTTGTATTTTGCTGCTACGGTGCATGATCTCTTTTTCTTATGTTTCAACTTTCAATTGTTTAATACTTCTCACCAACCCCTACATAACCCAGCCATTACTATAGACATATGCCATTCTGAGATTTTGTTCATTACATCTTCAGAAAGTTGATAAAAGAATATATATAACTAATATAATTATAAATTCATAAGTTAAGTTTTTTCTTTATAAGAGATATATATACCAGCTAAAAAACTTTAGAAGTATGATATGATTCTAAGTTACATGTAGAACTCAAGAGAAGGATCCAACTGAGTTGCTGCGTCTCTTGAACTATGAGTTCGTGTATGTGTTAAAATCTATATTAATCTCACAATATTTTTTTTTTTTTTTGTACATATCCCACAATAATATATGAAACTAGCTCGCATGACAGCTCAGTTGGTCACATGAGTAAAATTTGGGAACAATGACTTCAGATCGAGTCTCATCAACGACAGTGTAAGAACAACCTCTCAAAGTGAGGATGACTTCTTGTGCACAGTAAGCAATGGTCTAACCTCTGTGTTTAGCTAAGTTACCATAATTTACATTCTCCCAAATGCTCTGTTCGGCCAGAACATGGGGAGGCCTTGGAGTTGGGGATTCAACCGTTTGGAAACAATATATGAAACTAGTCCAAATGAGTATTAGTCAAGCTCTATTTAATTAAGACAACTTTCTCAAATCTTTTAACCTTAATTCCAAGTGGTTTACAATTAAAAAAAACCCCATTACTTCTTGAGCTAATAGGTCGGTGGAAATCTTAAAGAACAATGTATTAGTTTGTGGGAGAATGGAAACATGTTTGGAGGTAAGGAAACAGCGGGAAGTAAAACATCATGGAAGGAACGTACGAGGAAGGGAAGCGGATTGGAGTAAAGTTCTGAGATTTCTAGGTTGCATGCATGGGCCGGTCCAAGGTTATTGGGTTCCTTGAGGAGCAAGAAGTCCAAGTGTTTGTGTACGACACATCAAACAAACATGCCGCTTTGCTTGTATTTTTTCGCATTTATAATTTAATTACGACAATTATTTCTTGGTCGGTTGACTAATAATTGCAAAGTCATTACTTGCTGCCTGCTTACATACTTACGTAGATGTATATATTTATCGCATAGTCCTTTCATTTGTTGTTTTGTATAGTTGTGGAAATATATTTAACTTTCAAGAGCACCAAAACTATGTACAAACAAGTAGAAAGAAATGGAGCCACTCCAGTTAAATTGGTCGAACTATTAGTTTAGTAATCATATGGATTCAAGTTTGGCTCACAATGACAATGTATGACTACACAAATTAAACACTAGGTATGTTGAGCCAAACAAATGTAAAACATATCTAGTAAAAATTAACATACAGAATTTAATTCAAACGTTTTCATAAAATTTTTTGGAAAAAGTGTCAAATTGACTCCCTAAGTCATTTGGATAATGCAATTAGGTCCCCTAAAAAAAAAAAAAAAAAAAAAAAAAAAGAAAGAGATGCATTAAGATTCCCTAAACCTGTAAAATTATTCAATCGAGTCCAAATCAACATTGTATAGCAGGTTAATTTTTCCCAAGCTTGACACATGTCACTTTTAAAATATATTTTTTATTTTTATGTTTTAAAATTTTGTATTTATTAATTTTTTTTTTTTTTAAAAAGAGTTTCACCCACCGAGATCCAGATCTGGACCTCATGTTTGACAGCCGTAGCTTCTGACGCGGTCGTCTATGAAGGAGGCAGTCACTGGCTGTCCGGTGGCTGAAACTCTTTTTTTTTTTTAATAAATAATTTAATAAATAAATAAACTATTTTTAAAGAATAAAAATAAAAAATAAAAATATATTTTTAAAGTGACATGTGTCAAGTTTGGAAAAATTTAACCTGCTATACAAGTTGATTTGAACTCAAGTAAACAATTTTACAAGTTTAGAGAATCTAAATGAAACTTTTTTTATTTAGAGAGTCTAACTGCACTATCTAAATGACTTAAGGGATAAATTTGACATTTTTCCAAACTTTTTTAATCACCTTAATCTTTAGATTAGTCGAGACATCTAACTAGATGAGTTAACCCAAACCAAGTAAATCATAATGGATAGACAAACAACTGAGCCACAACTAACTAGTAGTAGATACATACTGACTAGTCTGGACTCTGGAGTGTAGTCTAAATTTAATCTTAACAATATATTTGCTATGTTTATTAATAAAATGTTACACAATCAACAAGTACAGTTGGCACGCGGGGGCACGAGGGTATATTGATTAACATATAATATTAATATTAATTTTATTTTGTAGCATTCAATTTCCACTTGCTTATATTAAATTACATTCCTAACTAAAAAAAAAAAAATGAAAAATCAGTATCAACCAAAGTAAGCTTTTGAACCGTTCGATAGCAACACGTACAATTTCCTTTTAACACGTATAGATAAGCTACCCACCATATCAGAACTAGAATTCAAGTTACTTTCATCCTTTAATTTTTCTTACTTGTTTTTTCCTAAACGGTTGCTAGAGGTATAATATGATGTAAACACATATTAAAAAATATATACTCCTGTCTCATTTTATCTCTCCTACTTACTATTCATTAGTTTTTTACTGAAACCCAAACAACCAATAGCGCCTCCACTAAGGCTCGAACTCATAATCTTCCAAATGAAAATCCAACCCTGGTACCATTGGACCACATAGTCCTGGTACTATTCATTAATTAAATCAACTATTTCTTCTTTGTTTATTTTCTTTAGTATTTTTTATTTATTTTTAAATTTGATTTTTTGTGTTTAATAGTACTTTTTGTGTTGTTTCTAAATATATAAATTTTGTATACTAATTCTAAACTTAATACTAGTATTTTCACCCGTGCGATGCACGGAATGGAATTGTTGTAATATATTAAGAATATTTAAATCGATATATAATTATTTAAGAGTTAATTTCACCCGAGGTCGTTTATATTTCCTGACAATTCCAAATTTAATCCTAGACTATAGTTATTAATTATTACAATTTATTCTATGTTACAACTCTTACGTTAATATTCTTACTATTATTATTAACACTTAATTACTTTTAGATATTATTATTACCACTTATATTATTATTATTATTATTATTATTATTATTATTATTATTATTATTATTATTATTATTATTAGTTTCTTTTCAAGTACTGTTAGTATATAATGGTCGTGAGACACAATAATAATATAACCATAAATAAATATTCTTGTATTGTATTCCGGAGTTAATGCCATTTTTGGTCCTAGACTTATTGAGGCATTGACATTTTTCATCATCCATAATAAAAATTGCCACTTAGTAGACACTGTTATTGGTCGTTGGACAATTTTGATCATCCGTCAATGAAGTCGTTTGTTGACCGTGAATTAGAAGGGCTTTTCTGTCTTTTTATGTCTTATTCTTCTAATCTTGTTTAGATCAGCGCTGCTGTGACTCCTGTGAGGCGAGACTTGGCGGCTAAGTAGTAACCGTCGGTAGTGAGTAGCAGCGAGGTTCTTCTCCGGCGAGTTGTGGGTACCGCGGCGAGCATACGAGGCAGTAACTCCTTCCGGCGACGGACCAGTAAGGCAGATCTGGCGGTGCAGCAACAGATCCGGCGAGGTTGGGGCCTTCACCGGTGGTTTTTGGTTCCGGCGAAGCAGAGAGGGCAGCAGGTCGGCGAACCCTCCTATGGTAAATAGCAGTTGTAGTTGTAGATGGCGTGATGTAAGAATTTGCACCTGTAAG